GCAAATGGAAATCGAAGATAACCAAAGGTGCAAAAAAAAACGTTCAGTTGCTGCAACAAACTTGACGGAGTAGGAGATCAACACACTTATGCAATTGCGAGTGGAACTCGAAAATTGAGATATCATAGCAAACTTATTCAACGAAGACTCGAGAGAAGAATTGACATTAACAATTAACGATTTCAGCCTGCTCATGATCGAAGGGAAATGGTTGAACGAGGAGATAGTGAATTTTGTCTTAACCTCGTCAGACTAGATAACGAGTGTCGTGTAAATCATTTAGAATGCGACTCCAAAAATAATTTATGATTAGAGCAGGAAGGGGGGGCATCCTCAATCTGTATATGGGACGCTGGGCCCGTTTCCCAGCAGGTGATGCTCCCCACCAATAGATGGAGCCTCTCCCTAGGTGTTAGTGGTATCTGCTCTTATCAGCACCTCTAACACTGGCGGTGGTGTATTTGTCAAAAAAAAAAAAGAAAAAAAAAAGGAAGGGGGCGCATCCCTAAAACAACAATTCCCAACTCACTTTTTTTTGTCAGACTATTTAAGAACAACATGAAGTTCAATACAATAGGGCTCGTAAATGGTTTACGGATGTTGTGATCAGCGACATTGACTTGATTGTTGCACGTTTCCATATCGCACACAACCAACATTGGACACTCGTAGTGGCAAAATTTAGGCGTATAAAATTTGAGTACTAGAATTTCCTGACACTGGATGTGGGAAGGCATCCCACAACATCACAACTTTAATGAGTGCAGTGTGTTTATGCTCATATATGCTTTGTTGTTAGCCAGAGGTTGTCTGCTGCTATTCACCTTCTCCTCAGACGACGATAGAAAATTACGATGCCGAATAGTTTGGGATGTAGTTGTTATGGAATAGATAGACGTTAGATCGTGCATGATTGTGTTTGTTAGGATAATCGTCTAAGTTAATGAGACGACCACGGTATGAACACGCGTAGATCATTATACAATAACATTTTGAAATTGTAGAAAGCAATACCAACCATTCAACAAAGTGCTGAATGACACACACTAACCATTGAAATTATTCTTAACCATCAAAAAAGTGTTGAATGTTCACTCATGCTCGACCATCGACAAAATGTCGAATGCGATTTTATGCCTCATACTCGGGATGTTGTCTTGCGAAAATTTGAATGGAGGAAAGTGACCTTTCGCTAGCAAAGATGCAAAACCTATTATAAAAACACCACAACTACAACCATTGTGTTGGATGGGCACCTCATCAAGTGATGTCTCGAAAGATGTCGTAAGGTCGTCCACGTGATATCTTTCATGAAGATTTTGACAATGGAACTTAATTCTAAAGAATGCGACTAATAGTTCCAGTGGTGCGAAACGGTCATCGCAACAGAGAGAATCTACAAGGTGAAATTCACAATTGCAACCATCTATTCTAATACATGCCAAAACCCAGTGGGTTCTAAAGTTAAGAGGGATAAGTACAAAGTTGAAATCAAAAATATTTTTTTCCCCTAACCCACTTCATTTCCTCACAGTAAGCAATTTCTCTAGAGACTCCAAATGTCAATCTGGCGTAGAAAAAGGACCTGGCTTTTGTGTTTTCCCCGCTTCACCTTGTTTGGTGACAGGTTTCACAGCGTCTCTTCCTGACAGCTGTCCGCTTTTCCAAGCCGCATACACCTGCTCCATCTTTTGAAATACGTCGCCCGACAACTTAGCTAAGATCATGTAAGGATTAAGGAAGTCGAACCATTCCGAACTCCATTGAGCGAGTGACATACTAACGTAATGATAAAGGTCAGTCACTCTGAGAGCCTTCCCTGCAAACTTTCTATACTTCGCATTTTTGACATCAGCTCCCTGTCCGTCTTTGACTTCAAAACAGTCGGACGCGTTCCACAACTTTCTGATATCCCGAACAACGATCCTCTGACAAGGCGGAGTGTTCCATTTGTCCTTCGCATTTTGGAACATGCTCAACGTCCCATAGTGATCCATGAAGTGGTCCGATAATAAACTGGCCTAGTTGTCCAGTAATCTAGCCGCAACTCTTTTGCCACAACCGGATTTTCGCGAAAACATCTTCGTGTTGCTGCCACGTTGTGCTGACCGCTGCGAGGGTACTAAAAATACCTATCCAGTGGTTTCTTGTAAATATCATGAGTAACTCTTCTTGCTCACACAACCTTACCCGATGAGTTTATATGTAGTTAGTCATGCAGTGCCACCAACAACAGTATTGGTTTCTCATACAACGGACACGTGCTCAACCCTGTCCTGCCTGTTGTCCTTTCTCGAATGGCCGCTTCACCTGACGTAACCATCACTTCATAGATCTCGTCAATGTGATTTTGGCCGAGGAATCTCTTATTATATATAAATTCCTCATTTGGAATATCCATAATTTTTTGGAATTCAACGGTGATGAACTGTATCTCGCTCTCCTATTAACCGTCAGTATTGAAGTCCAGAAAGAAGTCTTTCCTGAGATGCAAAGTCGCTGGCTCACTTGGCAATAGTTGCAATCTTGATAGACGCGTGATAGTCTTGCCTTTTGCCTCGTCACCAGATTGCGGTTGTTCAGACGTGGGGAATACGGTCGTCTTCTCAATTGTATCTCCTTTTGCTGCTTTTTTTTTCCACATCGGCTTTTGTTTGGCAGCAGCTTCTGCGCCGCGAGTACGTTGGACTGCTTCATCCATCGGGAGAGGCCGCAACTGTTGTTTTTGCAGTTGCTCCTTTCTCTGCTCCTTTTCTGGTCGAGACTTTTTCTCCTCTCTTGCCTAGCTTTCCTTTTCTTCTCCTCGAGATCTCTAACAGTTGCAGGGGGCGACGAAGGAGTCCTCCGTTTCCTTTTCTTCACCTCGAGATTTTTTCTCCTTTCCTGCCTAGCTTTTCCACTGCTTTTGTAGTGCGGAGCGTCCTCATGTCGATCCAGTTCGTGCTCCTGAATGTCGCCGTAGTGCTCGTCATAAATTTTGCCCCCCTTGTCGACGCGAAGCACCTCATGAATGTGTGAGTGTCGTGCTTCTTCTTCATCCTCGAGCTCGTGACTCCATTGATGGCCTTCCCTCTCGCTAACAGTGTTTTCACTATCCTCTTCTTCCTCTCCGTGACTTCCCCTACCTTGCTCTTCTAACCTTCCTCTTCCTCTTTTCTCTGTATGCTCTATCCGCTGCTCCCTTCCCCCACATCTTCGAAATACAAAGGTTCGTCATATCCTTGCATAGCGGCACCAGACATGCTCGGCGCAATTTGCTGAGTGGCTTTTTCACTGCTATTGGCCGAATCTGCTTCGGCGCTGGCGGCTGATGGTCGAATCGATATGGCACCTACCGTTGGTCGCACTGATATCCATCCGAGTGATCTTGAAGATTGTCCCAGTGCGACTCCTGACATCACACTTTTTGGTTCCGTCATGGTTTCATGATTTTCATCTTTGCGAGTCACGGCTTTGTGACCTTGAATCTTATTCCGGTCGAAGAAGTCGAACACCTGAACGAGATCGAGCAATTTCAGTTCTTGATTTGCATCCGGATTGAACAGATCCACGAGCGATTTACCATATCCAGAATGTTTTCTCCACCGGACAGCAACATGTCTGACATTAGGAACTCTCTCGCCTTTGCCGTTCAGGAGCATAGTCATCTCGAAGGTTGCAACCGGACATCGCCTGTCTGACTAAGACGCTATACCACCTATCGGTCTGATTTGGTCTCGTAAGACGACATACAGAAAAAGACCACTACCAACCTGCCCAACATCGCCTAACCAGTCCAACATCCAGAATTTGTCTTCGTAGTCAACGACGGGCACAACCTCAGATAACCCATGGACAGACTTCTCAACGGAGCCTGCATGCCCCGTTGTCTCTTGTGCATAGTTCCGCCGACGACCACCAGACCCTCCACCACGACCACCAGACCCTGGACCACTCCCCGTTGTCCGGACAGGCCATGCGACCTCCCTGGTTTGATCAGATCCTCTAAGACGACTCATCGGACCGGAAAGAGGTGTACCTCACTGCATAGGCGTCTGCATAGCAGACCCTGATGACCGGCGCTGCACAGTCACCTTAGACCCTGGCGTCTCCTCTTTCTCAACCCCAACAACCAAGGATCCCTTCAACTTTTTGGGTGAGTGCTCGACACTTGCAAAACTCTTGGTCCTTGAGCATTTTCCTTGTTTCTCTGCAACATCCATTCTGTATAATCCACCAAAAGTTAGCAATAGTAAAGTTATCAAAAAACGATCAACAACGCAAACGCAGTAAATGAGAAACGCCTTCATTAATGGGACGGACATGCATCCACTCCACTGTCTCGAATACTGTCGTCCCGGCATCATCGCGTCGGACACGATAAATCCCCTTCGGACGACATTTCTTAGGAGGGCGTTATCGTGTTTGACGTGACAACCCCGGACAGTGGCACCCACCCACCCTCTGTGATACAACAGCCTTTTAAGAAGCATCGCCGTGTCGGACACTGCAAATCCCCGGTACTCACCCGCCACCCGAGATTAACAGCCTCCTAAGAAGCATCGTCGTATTCGACAATCAATCCCTTTCCGACAATTCTTCTTAGGCCATATTGGACAGTGCAACTCCATACAGTAATACCTACCCGCCCCCCAGGATTGTCGTTTCGAACATGACAACAACCTCCTAAGAAGCATCGTCGTGCTCAAGACGACGAATCCCTCGCACCCACCCTCCCTTCGGGAATGGTCATGTCGAACACGACGATAGCCTCCTCAGCACCATCATCATGTTCGACGCGACGTATCCCTGGCACCCGCAAGCCCTCTTGTGTCGCGACTTCAGCACGACGGATCCCTCGATGTGTTTAAGTCGGGACACATACAGCAACGTCCATTGGGATGGTCGTCTCGAACACGACAACAGCCTCCTTAGGAGCATCATCGTGTTTGACACGACGAATCCCTACCACCCAGAAGCTCTCTTGTGTCGAGGGATCCCTCGACGTGTTGAAGACGTGACACATACAACGACAACCCAATTTCGATCAACACGGTCACGCAGGGCGTCAACATCCCGCCAGACCGTCGAGGCGACATCATCCAGAACGTTCATCGTGTTAGAGTCGATAACGAACGCGACTGCGTGATATACAGCTGTGGCCCGTGGGTATCCAAAGTAGGAGAACTCATCGGACGGTCATCCACAATCCCTACTTGTCACATGACAGTGAAATCCAGATTCGTAGCATGAAGGTAAGTACCATTGACAACATTTGAACAACAGTCAACAAATTGAAACATTTTGTTCATTAAACCATGGATATAGAAAAGCAAATGCTTTGAAGGCATGCACCATTAACAACGTTTGACTGATAGTCAAGAAATCGAAACATTTTGTTCATGAGGCCACGAATACAGAAAACCAAAAGTTGACCGATTGAACCGCACGACAGACTGGCGTCAAATCATTGACAACACTAGCATTAAACGACTATCAAAACGGGGAAACTAACAGTCTAATCATTCTCATCTACGATCGTCAAAAATAAACTGTCGAATGTGCAGAAGGTCTACCGATGACGGTGAATTGTCGTAGTCATGTAGTCATTGAAAGTTCTGATTGGCGATCGAACACCGGATATTCCAGTTCCTCGGCGGAAGCGTCATCCACACACACTGAAATATATTTCATGCGGACGAAGTCGGACCTGCCGACCAAAGAACTGCTTATAGCATCCCATATAGACGACATCGTCCACCTTGCCTCCGACTTCTTGTTGAGCTAAACGCATCTCTCTTCTAGCCATTTTCAACTCGTTCCTGGACACACACCACAACGTCAGTCAAGGTCCTATTCCTGTTCCTGTTCGAATACGCAAGGCAAAGGACCCTACAGAAGAGGAATGCTTCCAGACGCAATCTGATGCAACGGTACAACACTGCTCGAGGCGACAACCCAGGACATCGCAAAGGATAGTGATCCAGGAACTCAGAATGTCGGGCACAATCAAGCAATTATTGTTTCATCGCACGACACCATGTGCGCGGCGAGGCAGTCACATATTGGCACTCAAGCATATTAGCGAACTGATAGTCCTCTGCCCATGGGCACTTCCTGACCATCCAATAGAAAAATTCCCACAAGAAATGAAAGTTGAAAAAACATTCCATAAAAAAAAAAAATCCTTCATATTTCTAAATTATCATTCCAATGTTTCTCCAATTTTAAAATTTCCAGTTTTATTTGATAAGTTCTCATCTGAATATGAGGTTTCCCTTCCAACTACATCTATTTGTTCAAGATAGAATGAAAGTATGAATGAGTTTATGAAATGTTTTAATTCAACTTTCATTCTACTACAACAAATATCTTCTAATTTAAATTGGGTTAACCTATTTATGACTAAAAATTCTTACTTAGAATGACAGTCCAATTAAAATATTTCATGAACTCATCTAGACTTTCATTCCATCTCTAGCATGCAGTTTAAATAAGAAGGGATACCCCATTCTTGGAAGGAAAGTTCTCAAGTAAGACGAAAAATTTTAAAATTGCAATGACATTTTTTAGGATGGAATGAAAATTTAAAATTTAGAATGTAATTTTACTATAGAATGATTATTTAATTCTGGGAAATTTTTATGTTGTCTTCTCCCACTGAGGCTCTCTCCAGGAGTCCAGGTGATCAATGATGTACGGGATGACTGTGATCCACGGATCGGACTCGAAGTCCCCTGTACTCGCACCGTCGATCGTAGTGGACTCTCGAGATCCGCAGGGTGTAAGGAAGGAAAGGGTGTGCCAAGCGCTCATGCCAGATAGCAGGGCTCATCCAGTGTGAGATGTCCACCGTCTTCTGGCTTGTTGACATGACGCTTGCCACTCTGTCTTCGACATTTTTGACATGACATTGTTGACATGACATTGACCACACTATCTTCATTGCTGAGTTGGACGTTGTCGAGCGCATCGGTCCCACAAAGGGGACCCTCCCGACCGCATCACTCAGGATTTGCAGGACTTCGTCGTAGAGCGTTGCCGCTCCGGACGAGTGCGCCAGCTATACCTCTCACGAAGATAAGGCCACACGAGGTACAACTTACCTCTACCTGTGGGAGCTGTCACCGTCCCTTAGGTGGGCGTATCCCCGTCGAGGTACCGAACCACGTGCGAAGACTTTTCGTATGCAATCGCAGAGGTGGCGTGGCCGAGGGCGTTTCTCGTTCGCTGTAGCATAGGGGGTACATGTGGCTAACGCCCGAATCGGACCTGTGCGCGAATCGTCGCCCGAGGCGCTGATCTCTCGGGTGCGACCCTACGTCGATTGACTAGGACGGTCAAATCTAACCACGCGATACGTCTCACACAAATAAAAATCAATTTCCCATACGTAAATCGCGCCTAGTCCCTTTTTCCACAATGGACCCATAACTTTTACCAAACAGATCAGACGTGTATCGCGCGTGGTGGTTTTGAATAAACATCGCGGCGACGTAGGCCTTAGTCATATCGATTAGCCATGCATGAATACACAAGAAGTCGCAGTGATAGCATACTATGTAGTACCCATAATTACGCGACCCTCGATGGTCTCGAGGGTCACTTTCGACACTCAAGTGTTGGTTGGCCTGCGCCTTGAGGGGTTAATCTCTCAACGGTTGCCAAGGCGGTTGAGAACCGAACCCTCTTCTGCACCCTGCGGAGACTGGGTGGTAAACAAGTTATGACTTGTCGCGACAGTCTGCGCTTATGACCTTGGTTGCAAGCTTCATCATCTAGGGTCTCGACAGAAACCAAGGCGATTGACTTTGCCGGTTGGAACGAACTTCAACATTCCACTATAAAGAATTTACAAAGAAAAAAGACAAACATGACATCTCTCTTTTCCTCCAGCCAAATCCGCTCGATCCTTACACACGACCTCAGTGGACCGAACAAATATATAAAGGGTTATAAGATACGGGGCGATTACTTCTCACAATCACAGTGTAGCTTCCTTCAAAGAGATATATACACGATCTCAAGCAAAATCAAATATGAATTTCAACTCTCAAAACATACATGCAATCACATCAACAATTCAACATCAACAAACCACACACTACACGGGGTCAACTTCAACCACTCTTTGCACTCACACCCCTTTGCCTTATTTACACAAGCTCCGACCTTTGTCCAACCTTCTATAATTAAACACTCGTCCTTTTTGAATGACCATTTAATAAAAGTCCAAGTAAAAATCCAAAGAAACATTTCAACCCACAGAGGCTAAAGCCTTAGGTTCAGTAGCGAGAATGAATTAGAGTTAAGCCGAAAGCCGACCTGTTATCAAAAGATAACAGAAGATGATCCTTATGGAATCAGACTGAAGCTAGTCAAGCCTTGAATCAATCTGAAATAAGAGCGACCTGCAACACGGTATAGACCAGTGACGAAGCTATGCTTGAGTGACTTATGAAAAAATCTTACCTTCTTACCTCACCTCTAATACTTATTGAAAACATCAAGAATTTCGACAGTATATTCCCTACGTGAGGGCACACTATCGAACTCTCAATGATCCTAAAAACATTTTGACTTCTTTACCTTTTCGAAAATTTCGGCAACGCTTCCCGCAAGAGAAGTGTCTTTCCAAAGTTTATACAAAGCTAGATACAAAATATAAAAGTAACATGACTTTACAAAACCAAATTTTGACTAACTCCCCGAATTTGTAGAAATTTCGGCAGCGCTTCCCATAGGGAAAATACCTTTCCAAAATTCATATAAAGTTGAATACGAGAAAACAAATCTATCCCAGAAAATGTTGATGTTTGAACTAAGTACAAACAAATTAAGCTCAGAAAATGCGGGAATTGAACTAACTCCTACGGCTCCAGCACATGGCGAGCATCTAAAGCACCACCTATCAAAATTACGACTTAGAACAAGCAGAACTCATACTCGACCATATGCAACTCCATACCACAACAAGTAAGTATTCTCACCAATTCCCCAAGTTGTTTTCACACAAGTATTTCATCATATCTCTCAGTTAAGTAAAGTCGTCATACCTCAGCTTACACATTGCATAAGAAGGTTAAGCCAAACCGAAGCCACATTGCTTAACATTTGTCTGTGTATATACAAAACAGATGACAATATTACTTCTCTCTTTCTTAGGCAGTTAGCTAGACTAAACTGAAGCCACATTGTCTAGCCCTGCTAAGTGTTAACTACTGTTTAATATCCAAATTTATAACAACTCTCTGAAACTTTTAATCTTTTGAAGACTAGGATTGAGCCAAACCAAAGCCACATTGCTCAGTTTGCCTTAAAATACCTTTGTTATAGTGACTGTCTCAATTAAATATTATCTTCCCTTTTTGAGATAGGTTATAGTCAAACCAAAACAAAACCACATTGTCCGACTAGCCTATTCAATAATAAGAATATAATACATATATATAGAAAATCACATTTCCAGGTTTCTCTTTAAGTGCGTGACTTCAGACTAAGCCAAGCTGAAGCCACATTGCTTAGTCTTCAATCTAAACCTCCTTAAAAACAAACAAACAAGTAGTTGGATATGACCAAAGCCACATCACCCAACTCTTAAACCCCTTCGATAGGCAGATCACTACAAATTTGTGAGCGCGTCGCGAAGGTCCATCGCTATCGCCTCCTCCTGTTGCCACGCCTATGTGTTGAGTTGAGCACACGCGGGGAACGTCGTCTGGAACTTAGCGCTGAGGTTACCGTGGTCATGACTCATGACGAGTTGGTGGACTTTTGTATTTTCGTGGTTCATGAATATTGCAACACACGCGCCGATGGAGGGCGGCAACAACGACAAACATGTGAAGTTGAAGACGATCGAGAAGACTGCGGCGGCAAGCTATAAATCTCCTGCAATCGCGGTCGCCACGGGTACAACAGCGGGTCGTGGTCGAGGCCGCGGGGCCGCGATCATGATCGTGGCGCCCACGGGCAAAAACGGGCCACCCCGGACGAGGGGGGAGGGGTGTGAGAAAGAGCGTTGCGGATTGGGGTCCCGTAACCCCGACCCCACCCCCTTGAACAAAAAAAAGTTAAAAAATATATATTTTCGGGGGGATGGTT